GAATCCCTGAACCCTCCACAACGAAAGGATTCGGACTGACGTCTTCATGTGGTTTCACTTTACTCCCTGTTCCACAGACAACCTATTAACAACTGAAACGACACCGCCATGAACTATGTGGAAAAGTTTTGTGTCGGAATTCCCCATACAGAATCCGTATTTAGGTCTCGGAACTGGCACCACGGTTCTACTTTCCTACCGGGCAGTGGGTCATCCCGTTTCCCCTATAACATACGTGTATTAGACCAGAGTTCCACTGTCTATTCCTGGAAGCAATTGATGGTCAAGAGGTGTATGCGGCCCCGAATCTGATTGTCAGACCGAACGTAACACCAGATCCAGTTGAAACTGCCGAGGAGACCAGGTACGGTACCTCAGTCTCGTGTTGTCTGTCGACTGGTGCGGTTGGCTCGTGGGTGCTTTCTTGTAGTACCGAAGATGTTGTGACGGCTGGCGCGGGAGATGTACCAAGGGCAGAGCTAAGGACGTCGCTCAAAAGAAGAGAAGGGCAGTATACTGCTCTGTTGGTGTGATCGCCTGACATTTCGTAGTTACTGTAAGAATTGTCAGGCCCTTGTACGTGTGGGCTGGCCTTCGGTCCACGCTCAGTCCCAGTTGCCCTGTCGCCTTCGGAATATATGTGTTCAGCCTCACTTATGCCTTTTTGCACCCAATGGGAAGCCTTGTGATGCTACAATAACGAAGAGATAGTTAGGCACAATCATTGTTAATTTTAATAAATGGAGCAAATTACGTAAATATCTTCTATATTTGGCAACTTTTGTTACATCAACAAAAAGAGCAAGATTTTAAAAGCGAACTTTAAGTTAATTTTTGACACACAGTAACTAACATTACAGCTATTAAATCAATTCTATTTTTATTAAATCACTTTGTACCGTTTTTGTTTATATGAGCTATGGGTTGCGGGCCCGAGTCGCTTTGAACGCATGCGGTCATGACGTCGCGCAAGGAGTTTGTGCAGGTATTTGGTAGAAAGGTAGGTGTGGGATTCTGTTTTGGACCGCTTGTAGAAATCAGCCACCGCCGTGGCTTTGTGCAAGGCTGGGAATGGAATGATACGTGTCAATGGTCGTCCCTTAGCACTGCTTCAGCCTGAGCCCTTGTTGCCTAAAGTCATGGAACCTATCATGCTTATCGGACAGGACAGGTTTGAACATTTGGATATTAGAATTCGTGTTAGCGGTGGTGGTCGCGTAGCGCAGGTGTATGCGATTCGTCAGGCCCTCGCTAAGGCTGTTATTGCTTATCACCAGAAATTTGTTGATGAGTTTTCTCGCAAGGCTCTCAAGGATACCCTTGCTGAGTTTGATAGGACTCTGGTAGTCGCTGATCCTCGTCACTGCGAGCCGAAGAAATTTGGCGGACCTGGTGCACGCGCTCGCTACCAGAAATCATACCGTTAAGTTTGGTAGAATAAATGGCTTCTTCTGTATTTTCTTTATGCTTTACTACCCCTAATTTGGATGTCTGTCATGGATTCCAGTGATCATGTAGGCTAAATTTATTTGTTGCTTCTTTTCCTGGTTTCCCTGTGTGAAGCGCAGCAATTTGTGCTCCCGGTGGCTTTCTCAGATGGGCCATTTTTTGTCTAGTAGGAGTTGCACTGCTTGCCTCGGCTTTGACGCACAATATGTTTGATCAGCGAGGTTGTCGTGCCAGCCTCCCACCGTCAATCATCACTACGGTTGTTAAGCATGGGTGCTTGTTGCAGTGCATATGGTTTGGCTTGTTTACTGGTTTTACAGAAGTGAGTCAGAGGTCTCAGTATGTTGTCCCCTTTCCACGACGTTTTTTCGTAATGTGGATGATGGGCTATTCTTTACACTGAGGGAAGTCTGGCTTGTGGGTGTGCTGTACATTAGGACTGCTTGTGGTGGTATCACTGGGTCTCAGTTAACGTGTTGTCGCTGGTTTTGGTGGAAGTAGTAGTTATATCGACTGGTACCTCTCTTTGAGCTTAAGTCGCGCCGGCATCGTTGGTTGCACTTCTTCCTGTAGGTCTTGGTAAAGTACATGGGGGGGAAGAGTTTTTGGCACTGGGCGCGGCAGTCGCACTTTATGTGAAATTTCCTGAATCTCTCTGTAAGGTAGAAAGTAGGTATGTTAGGTGTTGTTAATCAACGGGGAGAACCGGCATTACGATCGTTGTAGTTTTGAGTGTTAAAGTGTCGTTCTTACCGTTCATCTTATGACTTAGCTGGAGTAAGGACTTACGTTTACTGAGGCAATACTTCTGAGCCACAAAGTCAATGCGGGGGATTTTGCGGAGGCCTTCAAATTCACGTCGAATGTCCAAGTGTAGTTTAAAAGCAGCAAATCCTGTCATCTTACCAGTACAAGCGAGAGTTATTTGTACATCTAATTATGAAAAAAGAGTTGGCTCAAGAGATCTGACATTATACGACTGATACCAACTGTATTAGCTCTTAAGGGTGGGGTTGACATTGTACCCGTGATCCCTCGAGAATGTGTCACTTTGCTTAGCGACGTTTGTGTTGCTTTGGGGAAGCCCCCTTTTGACTACGTGTGAATGACACAAGGGGCTCCTTAGAAGTGGTTTGATAGGGGTTCATTTACCAAATCCTCTTACCTGATTCCATAGCGGGAATTATTCCGTAATTTGCCACATTCAGAAGAGGGTCGAATAGAAGGGTCTTGTTCAGAGAGATCATGGAGATGTTGTAGGTCAACTAAAATTTTAAAAATAAGTTCAACTAAATATTGGAGAAAAGCATGAAAATTAAGAATAGAAGCCATTTATTAAAACTTGGATTCTGTCAAGGGATCCTCCAAAGAAGTTCCAATGTTTCGACTGAATTAGCACGTCGTCGTCCTCTACTGAGCAAATAAGTGCTCGGGGAGGTGCCCTCTACACAGCTAGAATACATCAATTGCAATCATTTAGATGTACAAAGTAGGCCAAGTGAGATGGAGGAGAGTTCATCACTGTGCTTGCAGCCTACCAAATTGTTTTGTTTGAGTCTAATGTATTAAAGGAAGCTCTGCTGTTATTTAGGTCCCAACACAGGGCAGTCAGTCAAGTTCTATCCGCACTTTCTAAACCGACTCGCATTATCGATGGCTACTTGCATTACAGATGAAACGTTGCTAAGGGGCATGGCTTATCCAAAGAAGTTTTCGCCTTCGTAATAGCAGGAAGGAAAACATAATGTACTGTGCAAATCGAATGAGGTGTTTGTTTACTCCCAGTTGGGTGCAGCAGCTTGGCTTTAGTTTACGCGTTAAAGCTTACCCTTTCAAGACCGGCGCGCCACTTAAGTCGAATAATTTCAATTTGTGGTGGAAGTGGTCGATGAACACTGTGGAGAATCTTGTCATAGACCTCCTGCAGAATGTGTCCGTTTAAAACGAGGAAGAGCTGTGGAGGTACTAAAAATTACGACTGATTCATGGAATCAAATGTATCTCGATCGGTTGGCCATAAGGCGAGTGAATGGACTGAAGCAAGACAATTGTAACACTACAGTTGTCTAATGAAGTAATTCAATGTAGACTAACCCTCACACTTATGCGACACGTGTCCATTCCGGAATTGCCTAAACTCAAGGAACACTAAGGAAGTAGCAGCCTTTCGCCCGGGCTGGAGTTAGCTTGCATGTAATGCAAGGACATTTTCCAGTGGTTTGAGCAAAAGTTCGGGACAATTTAACGTGCATTTACTTTAGCTTTCCAGTAGGTAATGCCACAGATGAAGTCAACTGGAATCGTTTCTGCAAAGCACCTTGCATGATAGAACCTTCTGAGTGGATAAACTTAGCTCTTCTGCAAAAGCACTTTTCCAGCTTTAGAGGTGGATCTAGGTATTTTCAAACACTTCCTCACAATGTCACACTTCCATGTATTCGAAGGTGGGTGAAGTGAGGTAACTGACATGCAACAACATGGTAACCAGTTAAATATTGGAACGAATGTTTTAGAAGGCGATGCTGCATGCATGACATAGTTTTATCCGAGTAAGAAGGAAGCTTACTGTGTTGAGTTATATCAGGACGCTGTCTAGGACATTTGAGACTTGAATAGTCCTTGCCGTTCGACGGAATGGATTCAATTATTCGAGCCACAAGTTTCCTATCCGCCCAGAGATTAAGTTGTCCTTGAGCACCCATGAAGACCTCAAGGAGAAGGAGATGTATATACAGAGAAACTGCACTAAGATGCATCTTGTGTGGTTTAAAGTTCTTTAAAGATTGGCTTCGACATTGTACACCGTTGTGGTTCAAGGGGTCTGCAATAAATTACATAAAATAAAATAGATTGGTAAAATGATCGAGATGTTGCACAGGGCGAAAATGAATGAAGTAACAACAAGGAATTTCAAGGTAACCCTTTTATTATTTCTAAGGCAGATATGTTAGTTAATGGTTGATATAAAAATTAGCTTCAGTAGGTTGGCAGTGAGCACGGAGATATGGCATCAGTTTAAATAAATTTTGAGCTACTTATCACCGGCAGTGAAGTGGATATGCATTTGTGCATGATAGTTTGCGTGAGTGCGAGCTAGTAACTAATTTGCCCGAGATTGGCTAATATGAAGTCCAAAACAGCACTCCGTGGACGGAAGCGGACGCAAATTCGCATACTATGAGGTAGACCATCATTTGTGCAGATGCGGATGCGAACTTACAGACGCTCCGGTTGAGACTGCTGGACGAGAACGGCGACAACTGACAGAGGCACTGCAACGGCAGTGAAGTAGAAAAGTGGCTGTGGGCGTGCGTTCGCATGGGTGCACGTGTACACATCCACCCGGGCACGCCTCCATTGGTTCATAGAACGTTTTCACTGCATCAACCAAACTATAATTGGCCATGATTGAGCCGGCCATGTTGCGTTTTGCGTGCGTAGGTGCCAAGTCGAGTGCTTATTTCAATGAAGTTGGTAATCGAACCCTGTGGATTGCTCGAGAGCCGTCGCACATATCGACGCCAATTGTGGCACTGAAGGAAATGATAAAATGGGAGCTCTTTACTTCCAATTTTCACGCTATCTTTTCATAGAAGACTAGGATGATTAATTTGGAAAAATAATGCTTAGCATCACTGCTCAAGCGGAGCAACTTTGAGTTTTATGTGATTTACTGTTCCACCTTCAACTGTTAAGGCCGAGTAATAAACGAGTGGTTTGATATCAAATGTGGTGAAAGGGAATGGACAACTGTTCCCAATTTGTCCTCCACCCATTCAAAGGGTAAAATGTAATCCGGAATTTGGACAAGTAAATTTGTCACGGAATGTGAGAATCAATTTGCTCAGAAGTGCAAATCACTGTCATTGTCATGGCAAGGAAGGTGACCCATTCTGCTTTCGGATTGTCTTTTCAAACCCAAAAGTGTACTAACAAAGTTAAGTAATAAAGTAGATTGGCAATGGACGCCTCATACGTACCAACCACTCACTGATGATAACAGCCACGAATCGTTTTAGATGCCATCGGCGCATATGATTACGAGACAAGATAGTAGTACCTACTCTGGCATTGTGAAAAAGAGCCTCATTAACTTTGCCTCACATTCCCTCAGAGCGGTGTGTTCATGAACTTCTAAAAGTTTGAAAACAAAAGTATTCATGGGTGGCAATTCTACTACAATAAGTCTGATAATTTACTTAATCTCAACATTTCCCACTTCCTCTTGTGATCCTTCCAATGGGTGTCAAAGTACCAGTATGTCTGCCCCCTCACAACTATAATTGATAGATATAAGTCATGTTTGGTGTGATTTAGTTGCGAATGCAACTGTTTTCGTTTCCTTAATCGCATGATCACCTACATTCTGCAGCGTTCTACAGTGTCTCAATCGCCTCTACGCGACTTGACTTACAGCCTCGGAGGACGCCATCCATATTAGACGCATGGCTTCTCCTACAAAATCCGTTAATCTCAAATTAGTAAGAATTTGAGGTTTAACGGACTTCCTTGGTTTGCTAAAGATTTGCAGCTATTATCAACTATAAAGTGCCAGTGGATGAGCTACTGTTATGAGAACGATGGATGCTAAGCCAAAATGAATGGCTTAAGAAGTCGTTCCAAAAAAAGCGTTGTTGAAAGGGCGCTTGAATGATGTAAACGTGGTGACACAAAGGCCTGCGTGAGAAGACGGTAAGCACTTAAACCATTTGGTCTAAATGTGCCATTTTTGTGAAGAGTGTCATTGCGACTGTTGACTGAGAAGAGCAACACCTTTACAATAAATAATAGTTTTAATCTTTTCATTAAAATCTTCATATGGTAGTGCCTCTTCCAACCAGTGGTGGTAAAAAAGCGTTAGAACTGGAAAGATTTCCAAACTCTTTGCATACTGCAAAGACGTCCTCTTAATTAATAGGTGAACTCATTAATCACCACTGGCATTTGAAAACAAGCGAGCTCTGGAGACTGCAGTCAAGCACCACGCGATGGAGAGGCAGCAACTTTCGTCGAGTCAAGGCGCTAACCCCTACGAGCAAGCAGGTAGACTTGAGGGTTGTAAGCGATCATCTATGCTAATACTGACTAATTAGAAATAGAAGTCAGATGGGAAGAGTCGAGGCTCATTATAATTCAAAATTTCCGCCTGTTAAGCATTATCGTTGTATAACAGTTTGTTGGGGAAAAAACAGGCGCATCACAACTGTGGAGAGGGATTCACTAACAAGTTAGTGTTACGCTCTCCAGTCTTTACAAAATTTTTTTCCCAGGATGGACAAAGGTTAATCAGACGCAAATCTAAGCCAATGGGTAATTGCTCTCTTTTTCTACATGATAATTCAGCCGTGGCAAAGCTGGCAAGATTAACACTTTCGAATCTAAAAGTTAGCTTTCGTCGGTGGATTGGAGGGATTTCAGGTTGCTGACAGATGCAGCAACTAGGTAGAATCTCTTTAGAAAGTACGCATCTGACACGTAAGTACTCAAACCTAAGAAACTGAAGGAACACTGCAATTTATTTTCTTTTGAATTAGTATTGGACAGACAAGAGTTTTGCGAAAAAGAAAATGTTAGTCGATTTTTGTGTTTGATAAGGATGCAGAAACTGCACCATGTGAGCTGGTTATGGCAATAATTCCTGCAAAGCTCTGTCAAAAGGGAGGAATGCCCTGCCCAAAATGAGGTAGGGAGAGTGTCAAGTGCTCAAACAACAATGGCGTCGACGCCCAGAAGTAGGTAAGTACTGTGCCAAACCTTTACTATAAATGCGCTTAGCGTGCATGCAAGTAGGATCCTATATTGACATAAACAGTGACAAATGCTATCTTTGTTGCGAATAAAAGTAATTGACAACGGGGAGTTATTTATTGACGAGGATGCATCTCTGTCCTCGTGCACTTCCTTTCTCCAGCCTCCGTATCTTTTGGTTAGATTGGGATTAAGAAATAAAGCTCTCGCCACTTTGGAGGGCGTAGAGACCTCATCTATTTGGGGGTTTAAGTTGCTCTACGGCTCTCCGTCTAAGGACAACTTTCATATGGGCATCTCATTACGAATCTTTGAAGCAGTAAGTGCGGTTTCCTCCACTGGGATGCATTTTGGCTTAAGAATGCAACTATGAATGTAGTCTTGTCACTTTCAATGCTCATTCAATGCATGCTACTTGGTTAGTGACGTGAGCCTTACTTGGGCAAAAATGTCTGCCTTCACAGTCGCCACTCTAACTGCCTCAGTAAGAACTCGGAAGAGGTGGATTAGGTCTGCTCACCTCATTCGCTCACAGCAGCATAAGTATCGCAAATTAAAATTTAAATCATGTTCATCACTTTGATTAAGATATTATAATTAGGGGGAAGAAGAAAACAAAGCAAAAGGAGAATCAAATTTAGGTTAAGTAAGTGAAGAAACACCAAACACCAGCTCTACTTGCACCATTGAAGGGTAACAAACAATTGAATAAATGAAGTCAATTAATGCGTCACTATTGAGTAAGGAGTATAAATGAGGGCGAAACCATTGATAAAAGGTGGTGAGTTTTTTGGTGAAGCCATAAGTGAGTTACTATGCTCTCCTGCTCTGAAATTTCCACCAGCCGAGGGTGGCAACGCCAATGAGCCATAGGGATTAGTGTCGGTCTCATCGATCAAACAACATGGAAAGTGGTCCGTTTTGCAATGACAGCAGTGCCATGGCCTTCCGTTTTTACTGTAGGAAAGCAGTTGGATGATGTTTAGTTGCCTAAGAAAGGGGAGGAGGTGAATGAAGGTAGTTTGCTGACGTGTTGATGCCAATCCAACATTTCATTTTCCTTTGATGTAGACCTGAGCCTTGTGCTGCTCTCTTTCAAGCATTGACGCAGTTTCATGTAAAAAAGGATACGATTAGGCTCTTGGTAAACTTTTATCAAAAATACAAAAGAGGGAACGAAATGGCACACTGACACAACTATGCTTAGGTTGCTATCAAGCAGCCCAAAAATTGAACAGAATATTTTTTTCCCGCTCAAATTATGTGAGTCAGGCAATAATGCGTGAGACTTTAAAGCGCAAATTTTGCTTTTTAGTACTAAAGATGTGAGCGTCACGCTCATGCATTACAGTCTTCGCCTAACTTTAAGAAACGCCTTTGCCTGCTCATCTAAGAGGCGAGGACAAACTGCCATCTGACGCATTTGGGTTCTGAAAAGCCAGCTTTGGGAATAATTCAAAACGAACTCACTTGGATGGAAATAAGTTTTAAATGCGTGCG